TCTCTGTGTCCAAGAAATAGGGGCCGTCGATCATCTCGATGGAGGATGGCTACGTGCCGCTGACGCAAGACATGCACTAAGTCATCGCCCCCTCGTTGCGTGTCCATAAGTTGCTGTTAGATTTCGGTCCAAAATACATGGTCAATTGTTTCTCGCTATGCATGCCACAATTGTATTGACTTGGGGTGCGTTCGGTTCACCCAAAGTGCGCACATTTCTCACACTTCGAGGCCATCCACGCAACTTCGAAAAAATGTGTTGCGTGGGGCATTCGGTTCAAATCCGCGCAACTTGGCGCACTTTCCGGAAAAAGAGCGCACTTCCAAAGTTCGTCTCGGCCGGGATCCCGAGACAAACATTGGGCGCACTTTCCATTGCTTTGGGAAAAATCCTTTCCTCGATCCGAAAATCCTGATTTGGGTCCTATTTTCACCCTGTCCTTTTTTGCTTGCTTGGTGCAACATGAACCAACGCAGGGACACTGCACGCCACACCGCTCCCCATAGACGCGCTTCATGGCGCTTGACGCCCAAGGACTATAGGTGCGATAGGAGCGCTCCACCATGCTACAACTACATGCGCAGAGCGCGCACTTGTAGCTTCCAGATTGACGCAGTAGAGCCCACGGAACCCAAGCGCTGGCCGCCGCGTCGCGCCATCCGGGCGCCGCCGTCAGTCTGCGCACGAGGATGAACATCGCATGTATGGTACGCCGTGTCAATGGTCATCGCAAGCGCTCGTCTGTAGTAGCCATAGTCATTGCAGCGATGATCCACGGTTGCCGCTCGGTGGCCGTCCGTCCGCCGCCGCGGGCCATTCATGTGTTGTCCTAAAAGTCCGAAAGTCGGCGACCATCGATCAACCGAACGCGATTTGCAATCCACGCAACAAAAAGCGCGCTCCGAAAAACGTTGCAATCGAAGTTGTGTGGATTTGCGATACGCACTTTGAAAGTAGGTGGTGAACCGAACGCACCCTTGATTGCGCCACGCGGGAAGGAGGCAAACTGATGCAATTTTTTATTGTGTGGGAATTTCCCACACTGTAAAACAATTGCGCTGAAGGACGAGCAAGCGAAGGGCCCGAGATGATCAATGCAATCGATAGAATATTGTACGTTCGTAGGCGTTTATAGCCTCTGAAGTGCAGCTATTGTGCGTTTTAGCCTTCCAGTCGTAAGCGATCCATGCCACGCCATTCTAAAAATGGATGTTTCGCGCCAACAAGGAGTCGAAACGGTCTTTTCAAGAGAAGGCGCCTTAGCAAAACCAACGACTGGTCGGCTTTCGATCTCGCTACTCATGGTTCGGTGTCAGTACTCGAGCGTCATGGTTCTTCCCGAGCAAGTCTCCGACGAATCGCGCGCGCGAGTTGCGAACGGCGCGCTCGAACGGCCGGTGTACGCTCGCATCCAGAGGTGGCCAATGCGAGACGCGGCCCAAAGGTGCTCATGCTCACGACCCTGCCGACGGAGGGCTCGCCCGAGACCTCGTTCACGGCGCCGATGGACGAGTGCACGTTTGCGTACGCATCGGTGTACGAGGCCTGCTCCAACATGGCTATTTGCTGCGCCGGTTTGGCCTCCTTCGCCACAACGGCTTGGCCACCACGGGATGGATCTCTCCGTGCGCAGCTCACTCCCAACGACCAAGTGCTGGAGCCAACTCCCACGCATTCAGGCGGAGCACTACGTATGCGAACTCTTTGTAAGGAAGATGACGCGGAACACGTCAATATATAAACTCTCAACCTTCAGCAACCCTGTCGCCGCACTTTTCGTGCACACGGTGCCGCTCGCATCGGTCCTCATGTCGATCACCGAGTCGGACGAGGTACACACCCAACCTCGTGGCCGTGGCCTGGCGCCGGCTCCACAGCGCTGCCAACCTGATGAGACTGCACGGTGTCTCGGCGTTCAAGAGCTTTGTGCTGTACGCAGCCCGGATTTTCTTCGCCTAAAAGAGATTGCAAGACAACGTGACAGCGCTGGTCGTAGCCATTGACACCGTAGCGGTAGCAAATACCATAGCTTTCGCGTTGGGAATCTTGGCGCTGTGCGTTGTGTTGTCGAGACAAACACCGACAACGACAACCTCGAGCTCCTCGACGGAGGAAGTGCAACCCTTGTCCCGCCAAGGCGTATCCGGACACATTTCGTATGCCAAACCCGAAATTAATTCCAAAATGGTCGACACGGCGACAAGCCACGACACCGTCGGCGCCGGCACTAAAAGGAGCTGCGCGAGCGCCGCGTCGTGTTCGGAGCGCGCGCCGTCTCTCGGCATCGAGCCCAATGCGTCGGACCTCAAGCACTTCACACAGGACGTTCTGCTGCTTGCACACGGCAGTCAGCACCGAGACCGCTGGCGGTGCAGCGACAACATTACGCACGCCACGAGCCTTTCGCCCGCTGCGAATCCTTCGTTCAGCGTTGCCTCCGATCCGCTCTTTGATGTAGGTGGCTACAAGCGAAGCTCCTACTAGTAGTACAAGATGCTCGCGAAGGCTGCGTCACCGTCCAAATGGCTCTTGGCGAACAGTGCTTGCTCAAGGGCTTCGAACCGCTCGTCCGAGCGTAGGTGAACGCCTTGTGAACGGCGTGAAGAGAGTGAATACGGTACGCTCTCGCTACATACCCGGGCTGGCTCCTCACCGTGTACTACACGCAGGAGGTCGACTACACCTTCGAGTCGGCCATCACTGAGCTGCTCAAGAACCCGACCTGGCGCTTTGTGTACGCCGAGCAGGTGCTCTTCCAGCGCTGGTACGTGCACTCGATCGCTGGCGACCTTGGCCTAAGCGGGCGTCCGTGGCGCGAGCAGACGCACGAGATGAAGATGATCGTCAAAGCTCGTGAAAGAAGGCTGCTTCGACTTGTCGATCAACGGCGGCTAGGTCCTGCACGGTGAAGCGTCCTGCCACTACTCCGTCATGATCGACGAGACGGCGCTCGGCCACGCCTTCTTGCTCCACGAGTTTGGGTACCTTGCACCTTGCGTTTGCTTCGCCATATCAAAGTTCTGCAACTAGCGTCAAGCCGCGCCTCGGTCAACAAGAATACGAGAAGCGCAAGGACAACAAGGACCTCAGTATGCACGCCTAGGACGCCGAGGAAGATGGCTCAACGACGGCGTATAGTCCATGTCGCAGCCGTCGCCGTCGCGCAGCGAAAAGATCTTTATAGGCAAGATCTAGGACGGCTACGGCGCGCTCATCTAGGACGGCTCTCCGGATGCCCCACAGGCTGCGCCGCTCCTCTAGAAGCTCGACATCCCTGTGCCGGCCATGCCTGCGCTCGACAGTGTCCAGTGCAGCTCCAGCCAGCGCAAAGCTGCTTATGCTTTCATCGACCTAGCTCGTAGATGGATATTCTTGCCTGCCACGCTCCCCAAGACGGCCGACAAGGGACTGCTCAAGCGCGATGCAGAGCTCAAGCTGCAGGCGTGCCCGGCTGACACGCTCTTTGCCGCTACAGTCGTCTCGTTGAGATGCTTTCGACGCTTCTGCCGCTCCGCGATGACGATAGCGCGTCGTCAAAGCTCTCGCTCTTCTTGATCATCTACCGGTGTTTGCCCGCGACGGGTTTTGATCGCGTGTGACCTGCGTTCGTTGTCATGGCGCTGCTTCTGCAGATCCTTGCGCCCCAACCTTTGCCGCGACTATGCCTTGCCGTTGGCAATTATCGAGGACCTCGTCGCTGCTTTCTATGCGCCACAGACGCTCATGCCATGGCTGTCGGCTGCGTCATTCGTCTGTAACTGGCTCTGAAAAGACGAAATAAGAACTGTTTCTTCGTATGTATTCTCTTGGCCCATCGCCAGGTCGCGAGGTCGACTCCATTGCGTCTGAAAATGAAATCGTCAAGGTTTAGTACATTGGTAGAGAACGTTGCGGAGATAACGGAAAGCGAGGTTGCATCGACGTGCGATGCGTACAGCGGTCGCGAGACGCGATCCAAGATGCCTCAAGATCGTAGTGCCATCTGAGAGGCACAACGCACGCCAAACTAAGATCGCAGTGCTATCGCAGAGGCACCACGCCAGGACGCCGACGCCACTTATCGACAACATCACGTTTGAAATGAGCTCGCCCAAAGCTGGCACAGTTATAGAAGACACTTTGGGAAGCAGAGCAGTCCACGCTAGGTTACCGCTGCCGTCGTACAACGCGCGCAATGCTCGACTTACGATACAGAGCGCTTTTAGAACCTTCTCCTCTTCCACTGGATCAAGATTGCGATTCCTAGCCACATTCATGGAGTTACTACGTCCAGCGCCATCGCATCCTGTGAAGCGATTGGAACGAGAGGCTTGCAGCTCA